CCCCTGTGAGGGCCAGCTCCTGTTGCTTTACCCCAGCCTGGGGCATCAGCAGCTCATGTTCATGACTTAAAGAACCTTAGTGTCAGAAGACACTTTAGAGGTCAAGTCCAGTCCCTTCTTCCATTTTGCAAATGAGGAAGTCTCTGGTCCAGAGATATGAAGTGACTTGTCCAAGGCTCAAGGCAAATGGTAGAGCTGAGCCTGGTGATGGTGGTGGTGTCCAGTGCAGGGCTGCCCACACTGGGCTCTCTGGCCGACAGAGCGTACCTGCTCAGGGGACCGCCTGATCTTTCCATTCCATGGCCAGTGCTTTTGTCAAATTAGTCCTGATGTGAAGACCTAGACTCAGTACCTCTGGACTTCCATTTGCAGTGATTCTCTCACCAACACGGCCAGACCGAAGTGTGAATTCAACAGCTTTAGAACTGCATCCAAGAGAGCTTATTGCATTTATTATTTAGTACGGTGTCGATATTTTTCATTTAGCAAAAGCAAAGATGGGTTCAAGCTAAGCCCCAGATATAGAAATAGAAACTGAACTGGGTGCAGTGGCTCACACCTGTACCTCACAGCTTTGGGTTGTGAGATACACTCTGGAAGGCCAAGACAGGAGGATTGCTTGAGGACAGGGGTTTGAAATCGGCCTGGTCAGCATAGCAAGACTATCTCTACAAAAGAAAAATAAACAAATTATCTGGGCATGGTAGTGCACACCTGTAATCCCAGCTACTGAGGATGCTGAGGTGGGAGAATTGCGTGAGGCTGAGAGTTCAACGCTGCTGCAGTGAGCCATGATTGCACCACCGCACTCCAGCCTGGGCAACAGAGCAGGACCTTAACTCAAAAAAAAAAAAAAAAAAAAAGAAAGAAAGAAAAAAACCAGAAGCTGATATTCTGCCCCTGGTCCTTACCCATTATAACAGCACCTCTCCCAGCACAAGAGGGAGATGCCCAGAGCCCGCCCATCCTGCCTATGCACATCTCAACACAATGTTGCCATGCCTTCCCTCAGGCACCTCAACTGCAGTCTGCTGTTTTCCTGGGGAGGTGCAGCCTTGCCCTCCACTTCCTTCTACCCATGCCTCTCTTCCCCAGTTTAAAATGGTTGGAAGCTTTATATGATAAGTCAAATCTCACTTAATCCTGAACAACGGCTGATGGAGGGGAGCAAGTCAGAGTGGAAGGAGAGGAGAGGACTAGATTTGCTTCTAAAATCAGGTATCTGGGGTTTCTGGAGCCCTGGAACATTGTAAGCTTCTCCACATCTGCAAGACTTCATCCTGACACATCACTGCCTGCCCTATCTTTCAAGACTGGTGATAAAAAGCACCATAGCTACCTCCAAACACATCAGCGCATTCTAATCATACGCCAAGGCAGGACGTCAGGAGTTTCCCAAGCCCCTCTGCTGCACCATGCTGCAAGAGACAGCAGGGGGCGCACTACTCTCTGTCCTGGAGACAGGACGCCTTGTCTACCCGTCTCAATCTCAGCACAAAGCCTGACACATGGTAGGATGCTGTGGTCTGAATATTGGTATCTCCCAAAATTCACATGTTGAAATGTAATCACCAATGTCATAGCATTAAGAGGTAGGAACTTTGGGGAAGTGATTAAATCACAAGGGCTCATCCTCATGAATGGGATTAGTGCCTTTGTAAAGGAGATTGAGGTCAGGTGTGGTGGCTGGCACCTGTAATCCCAGCACTTTGGGAGGCCAAGGTGGGTGGATCACTTGAGCCCAGGAGTTCAAGACCAGCCTGGGCAACATGGTGAAACCCCATCTATACAAAAAATACAAAAATTAGCTGGGTGTGCTGGTGTGCACCTGTAGTCCCAGCTACTCAGGAGGCTGAGCTGGGAGCCTGGGAAGTTAAGTCTGCAGTGAGCTGAGATCCTGCCACTGCGCTCCAGCCTGGGAGACAGAGCAAGACCCTGTCAAAAAAAAAAAAGATTGAAAGGAGCGTGTTTGTCCTTCTGCAATGTGAGGGCACACAGCAGGTGTTGTCAACAAGGAGCAGGTCCTCGCCAGACACCACATCTGCCGGCGCTCCCCTGTTGGAAGCCCCAGCCTTCAGAACTGTGAACAATAAGTTTCTGTTTGTAAATGACCCAGTCTAAGGTATTTTGTTACAGCAACACAAACAGACTGAGTCAGAGGCCCATATATGTTTATTGATTGAAGAGCAAAGGACTGACTAAACAGCACACGGACCAGGACGCTCTGCCTATTTCCATCAGAGACTGTTTTGCATTGGGCCGGTGGACTGAGGGATGCTGGCTTGCAGGCGACCCAGGAAGGAGCTGAGATGAGGAGCCAGATTTCTCTGTGGATAGAAACACAAAGCTGGCTACTGGCTATGGTGGCTGTCCTGAATGCCCCTGACATGAGCAAAGCTGTTACCTGTAGGGACACATATGTCATTTTGTGGAAGGGGAAGGTGGTTGGGGAGTTAAGGGAAAGATTTATCTGCTCAAGGCTGAAGTTTAGAAAGAGTGCCTTCCCCCAGTGAGTGAAGCAGAGAAGAAATAGGGAGCCTTCAGCAGGGGCACTGGTACAGCCTTCAGTTTGATATAGGGCAAAACCCGGCGCAGTGAGGGGTCCCATGGCAGGCAGCCCTAGAACTAGGGTTCTCAACACAGGTGGGACCCAAACCCATCGCTGCAGTATTGGGGGTTGTTCCTGCCCCTAGCCTCTCGATACACCCCTACCTTCTGTTCTCTGATAACTATAATGACCTCCTTTAGGGGACAACGCCTGTCACCCCACAGTGAGAAACAGCACTGAGTAAGACTATTCCTGGGAGTGGTGACAGACAGATGCAAGTTCCTGCTAAGTTCCCAGTGATAATGCATCCTCTCCTGTGCTCAGCTTTTGAGGAGAGGGACACAGGCAGGAGAGCCCTTGGGAAGGGGGAGGTTGGTAGTGGGGTGGCGCATGGAAGAGCAGACCAACTTTCCTTCTTGCCAGTTTGGGATTGGAGGCACCTCCCCTGTAGCACTGAGGATAGACACAGTGGAGGTGGCTGCCTCCCCTGGCCTGCTCTCAGCCAGCCCTTATGCTCCCACTAACTAGAGAGAAAGCAAAGGCTTCCCCTGTCCTTCATGCCGGCTTCTCTCAGCAAAAGGAATAAAATAGCCCACTTATTTTTATCACTCACGGATTTCCTATTAGTTCCGCTGATGTAAAGATGATAGGCTCACCTCCCTTGGCAAATGGCACAGCCCCAGCACAAAAACACTCACAGAACTGTCAAGAGGGCTCCCCTGCTGAGGATGTGCAGGGCCCAGGAGGAGGACCAGGACAGGAACCAGGGAGCAGGCTTGGGCCCCTAAACCCCAGCCTGCGAGTGCTGGCTGCAGCCAGTGCGTGCTGGGTCCTTGGTGCCCCAGAAAGAGGTCATTCGTCTCCTCAGAGCCCCTGGTTTCCTCTCTTGGCTGGGGCAAGGGTGGGGCATCGGAAAGGAACTGGGTCGTAAGCTGAAGGAGATTGTCTTATTCCGGGAGGTGAGGGAATGCGCGCTCCCAAGCAGGCTCCCACAGACAGAATGCTTTCCACCGCTGCTGAGCCCACCGCTGCTGAGCCCACCGCTAGAAGACGTCCCTCCCAGTTGGACACTCTTTGCCTCTAACCCTCACAAACACCCCTGGGGTGAGTAGATGCTATTATAAAGATGCCCGTGTCACAGGTGGGAAACCTGAGCAGCAGACAGGAAAGGCCTGTTATCCACACGGCTGGACTTGGACTGGAAGAGAGGACGGGGAAGCCCGCAGGCCAAGGAGAGAATGCTTTCTAGGGAAGCAGGCCCTGCTTGTTCCATTCAAGACGTTTTCCTTCACCCCTCCCTCCATCCCCATCACTCAGGACTCAAACTTCTGCCATAACAGCATTTCAGGGGCTTCAGCAGTGAAGGGAGGACCACGGCTCTCAGCCAGCTCCCCGCTGCCTCCCACCCACACGCAGAATGTGGGGACTCCGCAGCGTCGGCGAAGGCTACTCTCACTCCAGGAGCAGAGTAATGGGCCTGGCTTTTCTCGTCGTCTGCCAGGGGCTGGCCCTTCTGTGCTGAGCCCAGGAGCCTGTGAAGCCCCCGGGCATTCAGTCACACAGACTGGACTCTAGTTTCACGTCGCCACTTTAGTCTGTACATGTATACTGGTTCTCTGAGTCTAGGCTGTGATCTGTGAGGGCAAGAATCCTGACTGACAGAGGCCATTTTTCCTTCCGTGGAGCCTTGGGCAGTGCTGGGCAGTTGCGGGAGCTGTGACACCTACTGACTCATCAGTCTGGGAGGGTGGGGCATGGTTCTGTTCACACTGGCCATAGGGAATGTGTGACTTTGCTGAACTCTTTTTCTGCCTGAGGCTCAGTTTACTGCTATTCTTGGTCTGTATCTGTCTCCCTGAGGGCCCCAGGCCTGGCACCCAGTAGATGCCTTCCTCCCACTCCCACCTCTGCCAGGCCTGTCCCTTAAACTGGAAGCACAAGAAGGCAAACAGCAGGGACAGCCTCACCCAGAAAGCAAGGGGCAGCTACCTGACATCACTCTCCTCTTGGCTGTTGGGGAGCTTAGGGGCATCATGGTCTGAGGATGGAGGAAAATGAACTCACACTGTCTTTCTGTTCCAAAGGAGAAAGAGGGTCTGCCTAGAGCCATGGTGACCCCGGGCCAGGGCCGCTGGCAGCCTGGGGAGCTGCTGGGTGTGCATGGGCAAAGCTGCCAGCACAGGAGGGGACTGCAGCCCTTGGGGCTGCCCTCCAGTTATCAGAACCCTTCTAGGGGAAGGATGGTGAAGAGGGTTGGGTCACTCTGCATTTCAGATGGAGGACCCCAGGCCTAAGAGGGGACAGGAATCCAAAAACCCTCCATCTGCTTCGAAGGTTCGAAAAGGGGTGTGGATGCATCCACATCAGCAGGAAGTAGTAGGAAAAGTCACCAGGGAACGCGTAAGGATGAGGCCGGGAGAACTTTAGCATGCAAGTGGGTAGAACTGCCCGTTTACTGATCAGCTGCTGCTGCCGCCGCCGCCACCACCTCCTCGTCGTCGTCGTCCTCCTCCTCCTCCTCCTCCTCCTCCTCCTCCTCCACGTTGCAGGAGCTCTGAGGCTGTCCCTGGGCCTCGAGCTCCCTCTGTCCAGCTGGCTCCACGTGCGGCCCCTCTGCCAGGAGGTACTGGGCCAGCTGCTCCAGGTCCTCCAGGCTTATCTTCTGCAGGCGCTCCTCATGCTCCTGCCTCAGCAGCTGCAGCACGGCCTTGGCATCCTGTGGTTTAAAGTGTTTGGCTAGGACCAGTCCCAGCCGGTGCCACAGGGGCTGGGCCTGGGGCTGATGGGCCTCCTTTAGCGCCATCTTCTCCATGGGCCTCATGATGACATTGATAGAGGCATTAGGCCCGATGCAGTAGTCCGAGAGGTGCTTGTCATCCTCCAGGAGCTGGCCATGGAAAAGCAGGTGCTGCTGCTCCTCAGGCACCTGCAGCCGCTTGGACACCAGCTTCTTCAGCGTGGCTACACTCTCTTGCCCTGACACCTTCAGACTGCATCTCTGGCCCAGGAGCAGCTTGACTGTGAGGAACATCAGGCTAACCGTGGAATCAGGAGGGGTCCATGCTCTGGGAGCTGCCCTGAAGATTAAGGGGTCCTTGCAGGGGATATTGGCTTCTCCCTGCCAACAGAGGGCTAGTGGTTCCAGGAGACCAGGGACCCAGCTTAGGCAGACAGCCATTGGCTAGTGCACAGTGATGTCACAATTCTGCAGGAGGGCTCCTTTCCAGAGTGGAACTTTAGGGACAGCAGAAGGATATTTGGGCCCAGAGCATCCTTCTTCCAGGAGAGGACAAAAAGAGCAGCAGGAGAGAAAATGTGGGACTGGGAGAAAGGAGAGTGCGACTAGGGAAAGGGAGGGTTGGGAAGGACACGGTGGCGGGAGGAGCGTGTCTACTGATTTCCTCTGCCCTCTCTGTGCCAGAACCCAGACCTGGGGAGACAGTCATATTCAAATGCATGTCTTCTGCCTTCGTGACGCTTTCACACTAGTGAGCTGGCTAGCATTTACCAAGTGTCCTCTTTCTGTCAGGCACTTTATAAGCTCTCTTGGATTGGATCCCAGCAGTAGACCCTGAGACAGGAATTTGAGCACGAGTGCTCAATTAGGAGGTGATCCCAGGAAGCGCCAGGAGGGGAGTGAGGAAGTGAGATGAGGAAGGGAGGGAAATCGAAACGTGCATTCATGAGCAGGTTGCCATTGTGGGAAACTGGTATTTTATCCTGCTGGGGAGCCTGGGAGGCTGCATGGAACACACCTGAGTTGCATTACCTGCGAAGCAAAGAAGCTGGGTCTCTTTCTTTCTTTCTTTCTTTTTTTTTTTTTTTTTTGACAGGGTCTCACTCTGTCACCCAGGCTGGAGTGCAGTTGCATGATCTCAGTTCACTGCAACTTCCATTTCCTGGGTTCAAGTAATTCTCCTGTCTCAGCCTCCTGAGTAGCTGGGACTACAGGTGCATGCCACCATGCCTGGCTAATTTTTGTATTTTTAGTAGAGATGGGGTTTCTCCATGTTGCCCAGGCTGGTCTCGACCTCCTGGACTCAAGCAATCTGCCTGCCTTGGCTTCTCAAAGTGCTAAGATTACAGGCATGAGCCACCGCACCCAGACAAAGCAGTGTCTTTATGCTCTGACTTCCGTCTTTGGCCAATGGAAGTGCTACCTGTTTGGCACTTCTGGTCCACAGCTGTGCTCAGCATGCACCCGTGACCAGAGAAAAGTGGGAAGCCATCGGGCCTTCAGGAATGTGAGATGCCGAGGGGATAGGGCAGGATGACCAACAGTATCTGTGTCTCAGGCCTGCCTCATTGAATCCTCTCAACCTATGAAGCAGGGACTGCCATGATCTCCATCTGCCAAGGAGAAAGTGAGGCTCGGCTGATCCTACAGAAAGCAGGCAGCGTCCCTGGTGTCTTCACCGTTACCTCATGTTGCCTCCAACCTCTGCTCAGTGCCTTCTGTGGGCCAGGCCCAGCTCAAAGGTGAGTATGAAAAAGGACACGGACTGAGCCTCCTCTGGGTCTGCAACTTCTGTTGCATTTGACAGTTTTCAGTGCGACACATTGCTGAAGGCCTTCGGGGTCAAGGCCTTTACATATGTTGTCACATTTAAGCCTGGGAGGAAGGTGTTGACTCATTTTAGAATTGAGCAGCCTTGGAGAAGACCTGGGTAATGTCTCACAGTCAGTGGGCTGATTTTGTCAGGGATCCCCTCAACTCTCACCAGCTCTGTGCTTGACTGTGACCTTCTTCTCCCTCACCCTCTCCCTCCCTCCCACCTAACCTCCTCTCCTTTTCCACCTGCCTGGAAGCTACAGCGGCACGATGCTGTTGTCAACATCCTCAGACTTTCCTGACCTGCCCTCCCACAGCACCCAGCCCTGATCTCCCCCTCAAGTTGGCCGCAAGCTCTGCCCCATCTTCTGAACCTGGAAGCCAAGGGCAGCTGATGAAAATACCCATGGACACCACAAACTCAGCTGGCCCTCACCTCCCACCCCAGTCCCATGTTCACTCTCGCCGGGTGACCCATATTCTAGTCCATAGGGAAACTAGAGCTCACAAGTCAGGAATTCCCTGACCTTCTGTCTCTTCCTCTCTTCCTTCCTCCTCTCCTTTCCCCCACTAAGTGAGCCCCCTTGTTATTCCCTTTTTCCCTGAAAATGCCTCTGAAACCCACTCCTCTTCCTCCGCATGCCCACCGCCCATCGGTTCAGGCTGTAAACTCCCTCCAGCCCATAGTTCATGTCCTCCACCAGTCCCACCGCCTTGGGTCCATTCATACCACAGCCAAGGGGATCTTCCCAAAATAAAAGCAAGGTTGTGGACTCCTCTGAGTAACACCATCCAGTTTCGTTTCCTCTGCTTTTGGGATCAAAACTGGCCTTCTTGGCCAGGTCCTGCTCATCACCTAGCCTCATGCCTTTCCACTTGGCATCCTCCACTGTGGCCACACCAACCTACATTTCCTCTACTTGCTTGTCCCATTTGAACTCTTCCAAAACATCTTTCAAAACTCAGGTTTAGTGCATGCCTATAGTCCAGGCTACTTGAGAAACCAAGGCAGGAACATAGCCTGAGCTCAGGAGTCCAAGACCAGCCTGGATAATGTAAGAAGATCTTGTCTCTTAAAAAAAAAAAACGGAAAAAAAAACCCTCAGGTTGAAAATCTCCTGAGGGGAAATCACCTCCTTCACAAAGGCTTCCCTGCTTTCCCCGCCCTGGGAAGAGATAATCCCACCTCCCTCCATGCAACCATTGCTCCCCTTGAACCTACTTATGTGAATGCACTGAGCTCACATCTGTGTCTCCCTCATTAGCTCTCAGAGACAGGGACTAGGTCTTCTCTGCCTTTGTATCCCACACTTCCAACATGAGCGTGGTACACAGAAGGCCTTGAATACCTGCTTATCAAATGAAGAAGATAAAACTGAGACACACTGAGCCGTCCAGGGGCATGCAGGGCGGGTCCAGTGCGGCAGGCTGTGTAATGATATAAACCCGCCTGCAGCCTCTCTCTCACCCCCGCCTCCTGCCCTAGAGAGATGAAAATACAAAATTACATAAAAATCAATCAGAAAGCGAGGCCAGTCTTTACCAAAGGATCTTCTATAACATTTCTTTAAATAGCCAGCTCCCCTGGTGCATGTGAAATAAGATAGAATTTGTAAATGTACCTGTGCATACAATGTGGGGAGACCTGTGGACTCTGATTGCAGGGCTTCTCTGCAGAGGGATCAGGGAGATAAATGAGGTTTCTCCTTGGCCATGTGGGCACTCCCAGCCTCTAGAGGGGAGGACTCTGTGGTGGATAAACCATCAGATGGACAGGATTGGGGCCGCACCATGGGAGATGCCCTGAGCAGAGCAGAAAGATGAAAATCAACTGCTTTCCTCCAGCAGCTCCTCCTCAGACCCATCCACCCAGGCAAACCCTGCCCAGGACACTGTAAGCCGCTGCAGAAGACACACTGGGCCTGGCCTTCTAGAAGCACATGAGCATCTCGGCTCAGGCTTTCTTTCTCCAAGACCAGTGGCTATGTGCAGGCAGGTGTCCTTGTGACTGGGGCTTAGAGAGTCGTATCTGCTGGGTCACACTTTCCAAATCAGGCTACCTGCTCTAGAGAGTCCCAGTTGGGCCACGAAGACAGAAGCTTCAAAATTAGTGGTGCCCAGAGAAGCTGAGAGAGATGGTCACTACCTAGCCCCTGTGTCTGTGCCCAGGAGCCCCCACTGCCTTTCCCAGGAGGGACAGTGGGGGCACCTTACTGGACCCTCAATTCACATTTGGAGCCTGGAAATTGTATGTTTTCTCATGTAATTGCTTGTGTTAATTTTGCAATTAGCATGAGAAAATGTAATTGTATAATCAGAGCATGCAATCAGACAATGATTGCCATAATTAGGGGGGAAGATTACTGGGAATGAGTAGGTCTGGTGACTTGGGGAAAGAATCAATGTGTGCAGAGAGTGCTGGACAGCAGTAGGCTTGGACCCCTCTTGAAAACAACTGCAAATGCAATTTGCGTCACTGGGAAACAAGCACCATGTCTGGCAGGGAAGATGGCTGGGCGTGGGAGGGTGCTTTGGAACAGGTCTGTGAACATCCGGGGTCCTCAGAAGCCCTTTGCAATCCCCTGAGCAGACTGGACATTGTATACTGAGGGTGTGAACTCCTCAGGATAAAAGCCATATGTCCAGCTGCTGGCCTGGGAACTGCCCTGAGCAATCCCATTCCTTGAGTCCCATTTTCCTCCTCTGTCTAACGGGAGTGTGATCACTGCCCAGGGTCCCTTGCAGGGTTGCTGTGAGGGCCAAAATAGGAAGGCCATGCCCCCAGGACCTAACACAGCTTCCAACCTATGAAGACATCCAGATGTATAGATTTAATTTATAAATGTAAATGGCAGCTCTTACTGTCACCCCTCAACAGTGAAGGAAGATCTCACTGTGCCTAGAACTGTGCCCAAAGAGTGAATCCCCACAGGCCAGGGTGGGCCCCACTGCTAGCACAGGTCAGCAGGCAGAGGACTTTGCTGGCTGCTGACGGGGGCTCCAGGTGGTGAGAAGCTTACAACCACTCCCAGGGGCCACAGGAAAGGCTCATGTGGAAGATAGACCATGGCCTCTGCCGACCTCACTCCCCAGCAAATGATCAAGTTTTTGCACTTTAATGATGTCGGGCTGCCCTTCCAAGGAAGGTGCCTGGGATGGGGCAGAACCTGGGGAGAAAGAGAAGGAGGGCAAAAGAAAGACAGAAATGAGGAGGGAACAGAGAATAAGAAAGCAGAGCGCAGGAGGTGCTTGAAAAGGGGAGAACAGCAGGAGGGACACAAGGAAAAGGGGGTAGGAAAAAAGTGCAGGCAGGGGAGCAGTGCCAGGGAAGAAGGAAGAAAAGAACCAGGGTGGGGGCAGTGGGGAGAAGCAGGAGCAGGAAGGGACAGTTGATGCAAACTGAGCGCAGTCGCCAGGCTGCAGGCCTCCCTTCTAAGAGCACGGCCCTTCTACCCGCTCCCCTTACAGTCTGCAAGTGGTTCATGGGGAACTTGGGCAGAGGGTGCATAGTCTGGGAAGCTGAGAGCACAAAGCTGTGGTCCCCAGCACACCCTGCTGC